ATATATATATGTATGTGTATATATATATGTATATATATATATATGTATATATATATGTATATTTATGTGTGTGTGTGTGTGTGTGTGTGCATTCATGTGTGTGTGTGTATGTGTGTGCATTCATGCAGTAAAGTGATGGGAAAGAGGCCTGTTGATGGCAGCACATGCTGAAACTCAAGCATGGCAGCTTGGAGAGAGAGAGCTGCTCGGACACAGTCATGACTCATCCTCATGCGTGCCACCCCAGCTGCCTCTCACAGATCGTCCAAACTCAACAAATGACCTTTTTGTTCAAAACTGCTGTCTTACACACATACACCCCCGTATCTCAGTCTGAGTGTCTCAGTGTATTTAGTCTCGCTCATACACATGGTCTGTGAGTTGGCTTACAATCTTTAGCACTTGAGTGATTTATGTCTGGTTATGTTATCATATGCATCTCTGTGTTATCCACTTGTTCAAACTTAATTTTCCCATTCTTATAAGAGATAGTCATATTACCAGGTTGCACCAGCTGTGCTTAAGATAAAACTTGATACAGTTGTGGTGTAAATGATCACTAAGACAGTATTGCTGTTTATTATTATAATTATATTATATTGTACTATATTAAATTACCATTGACTGGTTAAGTTTGAACAATAACAAGATAAACTAAAATGCACACTTTTACGCTACATCATATATGACTACACTTTACAGAGAGCTTACAACCTTCTAGCTAAGGCTTGCTTTGCACCATTTAGTATGTCGGAAATTGAAGCGTGTGTGTAAACTTTACATTCTAATTTAATTAAGCTTTAACAAATGACTGGTGCAACTCTACACAAAAAATACTATAGAGGCTTTGATGTGGACCCTTTTGACTTATGCCTGTAAGCAACTGCATAGCAACACTCTGGCAACCACCCATACACAGCCCACATCGTGTTGGCGAGTTTTGCATGGGCAAACAGCAACGTGGAGTTCTGCCATTACGTAAGCCGCACATCCCAATATCATTACTTAAGATTATCTCTATTTCCATCTCTACATCTTTCTCGCTTTCTCTAATTTGTTCTGTGTTGCTGATCAGTGTAGCCAACAATCTCTCTCTCGCTTTCTCTCTCTCTCTCACTGAATAATTAATGGTGTGTTTGACAGGCAGGACACACTCTGGGCGGCTGAGCTCCTCTGGGAGAGCTGCTGTGGTAGAGTCACATTAGAGATTTCTGCTCACCACACACATGCTCAAACTGTAGCATGTCATAAACTCTGCCAGTGGCCTCTTGTTTCAACCGAATGTGGCCGTTCATACAAATTTGAAGTACGGCAGTCATGGGATTTTCTGATTTTTGCTCTGTTTGTCCTGCTGTCGTGTTTAAATATTAATGTGCTGGAACTGAGTTCATAAGAATGAGATTTGTCTCTGTTCTTATAGATTTGGTTCCACATGATTCTCATATTTTCTCCAGCTGCTTTTCCAGCAAGGTCTGACAAAGTCTTTTTTTAAAGGCACATTATTTTTAGATTAATAAATGCAGCTTTTGAAAGTGATTTCAGCCCTGTGCAAGATTTTAGGGTTTAGCCGGATTTTAAATAAGGTAAAGCAAAATATTAATCTGAAAGCAAATATTAAAAGGTCTCTGAACTCACTGATCTGATAACACAGTATCGTGTGTATTAGTAATGGTGAAGTGCTGCATTTGTTTCTGTTCTTCAACGATCACAAGAGCCGAGTAATAATCCAGTCCTCCTGAGTATTTCTCCTTCTCTCTGTCTGTATCTTAAAGACCACCAATTGTGTTTCCCTGCAGCCTGGCTATGAGTGTAACCAGTTTGACCACAAGCATT